TGTGTGCGCGAGAGAGAGAGAGAAAGAGAGAGGGAGACAGAGAGAGACGGGAGGGGAGAATAGTAAAGATCGGCGCGTTGCGTGGATCCCAAAAGAGTAACCATAGCACCAGGTGGTGGCGCTCAAGTACTCTTGAGGAAGCCTGACGTGAGGGGTAGAGCTGCGCCGGCACGGGAGATCGTGGCCCCTTAGGCGAGGGTGGGGCAGAGAGGCGAGAAGGAGAAGTCACGCATGCTCACTGCAAGCAAAAGTCTTCTGCGCGGGAATGAAAGTGCACATGCGTAAATGCGAGCAAGCTTCCCGGTTGAGTGAGCTTAACACGGGGGGGGGGGGGGGAAACGAGAACCGCGCGTGCGTGTTGCCAGTGGCTTGGGCTGAGAGGGAGGGTGGCGCGGAACGTTCTGGTAATTATGGTTGCGAAATAGCGAGGGGTTCGGTAAGTTGTCCTTCTCCCAAATCGCCATTTTAGGCTGGGAGGACCTGTAGAGAGGCAATTCTACCATTCTAGATGTTGAAGCGATTAGTCTGAGTGGAGGGTGTGAACAAAACCCACTGATAAAAAAAAAATCACTCCAGAATCTTAGTCTCTCCCTGGTCAGTCTGATAATAGGGAATTTTAAAGTGCAGAAGAGCTAGTGAGGCTGTGAAAGGTTGCTTCCGCAGCATGTTGTGCTTATAGTCCAACCACATTCAGACCTGGCCGATCTTGGCTCTCCACAGACTCGTCTCACCAAAGTAGCAGAACGCAGTGACCACAGTGAAGTACGTTAACACTGTACGTCTGCCCAAAATCCTTGGGTTTTCTCCCCTATAGAACATAGGGGAGAGGATTTCGCTGTGTCTCTAAGTGCTTATTTCATTGGTTGAAACCTAAGATCTGAGCAAACCACCTCCCTGAGACTCTGACATGCAGAGTCACGCCAGTATCGTTACACTGAAAAGTAAAGGCAGTTGTAATATGAAAGTGTACGGGGCTGTGTTCCCCCTCTTCCTCTTTTTGTTCTGTAGAACTTTCTGCATGATTTGGTCTGCTAAAGCTGGGAGATTGGAAATTGGTTGTGTGGTTTTGTTTGGCTGCAGAACTGTTGTGCCTTTGAGGATTTCTAGTGAAAACCTGTAGTTAATTGCTTACAATTAGTAATTTAGCATTTAGATATAGGAAAGGGTGCAGAAGTTTAACATCTTTTCTATTAATCCTGCCAGTCTTTTGCTGTTCCAGTTTCATTCTCTGGGCCCATTTACCAGATAATTCATGTACAGGTCTATAGTACTTACTAGCACAAGAGACCAGTATATAGGTTTTACATAATGCGCTAACATTAACTCATTTCGTAGTCTCCACAGTCCTATGGAATAGCTAAAGTATAACTCATTTTATTACAGATAAGAATTTTGAGGAACAGATTAATTTGTCTAAGGTTTTATAGCCAATTGAATGGCTGAGGCTGGATATTTCTCCAGGTTTTATTGCTCCATAATTCTGTGTTCTTAAACATACCTTATCCCTTATATTGAGGGGACACAGTTAAGAGAGTTATTTCAATTTTTTCTGAAACCGTAAACCTTAACCAAAGCATTAAGAAAGGAGATTGCTTACTGTCTTTACCTTAGTGCTTTGTAAGTATTTGGTTACCCAAATGGGAGATAAAAAATGAATTGTTGATGTGGAACCTGTGGGGGTGGCTCTCCTTAATGTACAGTTATCTTCTGTATTTTTTGTTCTGCAGAGGGTATAAAATGGCCGACTGCAGGATGCTGGAACACTCTTGTTTTTGCTTGATTTGTGATATGGTTCAAGACTTTAAGACACTTGCTGCAGACAGATTTTTTTTTTTTTTTGGAAAACTTTTTACTGATAATGTCTTATGTTGACTCATCTAATAGTAAAGATTGCCTTTTGTTGGTAATATAAGAAAGAAAAAATACTAGTTAAAATTATTGTTAGATCTATTTACATGAAATTATTATATCAAATGGTGTGAACATTTTGTCACTTGATGAAATAATTGCCAAATTCTTCCCCAAAAGGTTGTGCCAGTGTTTACTCAGAAAGATTGCCTGATGGCTTTAGATAAATTGTGTATTAAAAAAACAGCATCTTTTTTTCCTTGTTTTTAATTGGTGAAATTGAATTTTTTTCTTTATATGTTTCTCAGTTTTATTTCTATTCATGTGATATTTCATATCTGTTGAAATATAAACTTTTACTGTTTATTGCCCCCTTAGTGTTCTACTACTCAGATCATGGATAAATAACTATGTGTTATTATTATTTGACATCATATTTTTAAATTTGGAGCTAATATAGATTTGATACCATGTGGTCAGATCTTTTTGTTGTTGTTGTTGTTTTCCTTTCCATTCTTCACATTTGAGTAGGTCTCCAAACAAATTAAATACTCACTGTGGCTTTGTCTGTCTATGGACAACCATTCAGAGGAAAAGCCAATATCATCCAGAGACAGTGTTAACTAGATTGTTCACTAGTTTCTTTCTTTTTGTATTCTTCTGTATAGTTGATATATTTCATATTATATTTTCTGTTTAACATTATGTATATATTTCCACATTTGTCATTCAGTGGTTTCATATGTGTATTTTATGCAATTTTTTAGTAAATTATTTAATGAAAGTCTTAGTTTTTATTCATTGTTTGTTTCTGTTTCTTTTTGTAAAACCTATTATTATTATGGGGGTAGGGGGCATATGTGCCATGGTATGTGGAGGTCAGATGTCAACTTTGAAGTTGGTGTCCTACATCATTACGTGGGTTTCAGAAACTGAACTCAGGTTGGTCACTAGGCCTGTGTGGCAGGCACCTTTGCCTGCTAAGTTTGCTCTTTTTTTTTTCTCTTCATCAAGGTCCAGAATTAGAATTACTCATTAAAAATTGCAGTAAATATTGGTCATAATTGCTTTCCAGAAAATTATGTCATACTTTGCACCTAGTCATTTAAGTACTTAATTTTTTCTCACTTAATATGTAAAAGGATAATATATAAAAGTTATTTTGGAAAAAAAGTATGTATTTTGTTTAGAGACAGGGTCTTACATATACTGGGCTGGCATCAAAATGGATAATGTGGGTGATTATATAAACTACTGATCCCCATGCCTCCCTTCTTCATTACAGATGCATACCACTAGTTCCAGTTCTTGTCTTAAAATAAAATAATGAACTTATAGATAGAGTGGGTCCCCAAACCCGGGTCTCTGTAACTGCCAATAATATAGTATTGTCATTTGTTGGAACAAGCCTGGAGCTTCAGCTTAGTTGCTAAAACCTGACCACTTGAGTTCAAACCCAGATCCACAGGGTTGGATGAGAGCCAGCTCCTGCTATTCTGACCTCCACATGCACCTACCACCATGCACACAAATAAATGCAACCAACACTGGTAATAAAAACCCTAGGCCAGCTTACTTAAAAAGCGGTGTGGAAGGGTGGGAAGACAGCTAGCTCAATTGGTAGGGTACTTGCCTAGTCTGAACAAAGCTATGGGTTCAATCCCCAGCACAGCATAAAATCTGATATGGTACTATGTTTGTAGTCCTATCACTCAGGAAGTAAACATAAGGATTAGGAGTTCAAGACCATCCTTAGCTACACAATTTATTTAAGTCTAACCTGAAGTACATGCACCCCTTTAAAAGAAAAATAGTGTTGAAACGAAGCATGGTGGCACATGCCTATAATCCTAGCACTCTAGAGAATGAGGCAAGAGGGTTGCTGTGAGTCGGCTACATAGCAAAAACACCCCCCCAAAAAACCCTCTATGGGACACAGAAAATTTCCATCTCATCTTTGTAAAACCATCTGAACAAACCAAGGAACTTTTTTGTTTGTTTGTTTGTTTGTTTCAGATTAACAAAAAAATTTACTACAAAAGATTTGCTGTTTCAGACAAGTTGTCCAGAACCATTACCAGATTTTTGTTGTTTTTGACTGTACAGGCTGTGATGTTTAATGTTCCAGTTTGAGTTCAGTCAAACTTGGTTATAATCTGCAGTACTAAATATTTAGAGCTGCCTAGAGGAGAAGAGTGTAAAGAACTGGTGAGACGCGTTTAAAACATACAACTAGAGCACCATAAAGGGAAGAAAGCAGGCCAAACGATTTAAAAAGTACCTTTCCCTTCAACAACAAAAATCCCAAAGCCGAAAACCCATCATCCCTGACAACTGCCTTTATTGACAATGTTTTATCCTTAAATCACGAAAGGGAAAGTTAGTAAAATCAATAAAAGCAGAGAGCCACTGCTTTAAAAGTTTTGCAAAAGTCTAGGTGATACATCTTTTGCTGATGGATCCTCTGGGTTAGGAGCATTTTTTAAAAAGCCGTGCAGAACTATGGGTGTGCAATACTAGGCACTGCTGATCTTTCAAAATGCTTACACATTATCCTCGACTTCTCTACATTAAAATACACAAATTTGGTCAGGAAATACATGTCAGATGCTGTCACTAGTTATTCTGGATTATTTCAAGTGTCCCTTCCCCAAAGACAGAATTCTGAGGGTCAGTACTGACCACGTGAAAGTAACGCTTTGTTCTCTGGCATCCCGCCCTCCCCCCACGCCCCCCGCCCCGCTCCGCGTGCTCCTTTTGAGGTTATGCGGGTGGGGCTTCTGAAGTCTCTGGGGCTGAGTTCCATCTTCTATGCACGCTAGAAGGACAAAGCTTGATCTTAAGGTCTTCACGTCCTAAATGCAGTGCTCATCTGATTCTGGTTTAAAGCCGGAAACTTGCTCTGTTAGCAAACTCTGATTGGCCCTATAGATCCCTCCCTGGTGGGGTGCACAACCATTTTGTTGGCTCCAGCCCGCTCGCCTCACACGCGTGTGTAAGGGCTAGGATCTATTTCCGGGTGACATCGCATCTACGGCCGCTGCCACTACGGCCCTTCGGGAAATGTAGTCTCAAGGTAGTGCGCGGGCTGAACCGGCACCGCCTCTGCCCCCCCCCCCCCCCCCCCCCCCCCCCGCCGCCGCCGGGAGGAAGCTTCTTTTCCCGCGCGTCGCGAGCGAGCGCGGGTGGCAGAGAAGGAAGTGACGCACCGCGGTAAGGCCGGGAGTTGGAGAAGGGGGGCCTCCCGGAGCTGGGGCGCTCCTTGCAGCACATGCCGCTGTGGCTGTGCCAGATGTTGGGGCTCACAAATAACTTTTTACTGTGCTAATCTATCTGTCTTTAAAGAAACTATTACCGTTGCCCAGTTTTGAAAAAGGAGTGAAAATGTGTTGCTTGCTTGCTTCATTCTGGTTTTTAAAATACAAGTGAATCAAATGTTCTCAGACTTTGTGGGAAGGGTGGCTAGTATTCTTTGATTCCTGAAACTAGTTTCTCCTGATCCATATACGCTTTGCTTAGATTTATTAGATACAGTGGTCTAACTTATATTTACTCCGTATGTTGTATGTTTCATCAATTTTGCATTTCTTATTTTCCTGTGAGCGCACGCATTACGCCCATCCGTCTATCAGTCTGCGTGTGTGCGCGTGTGCGTGTGTGTGTGTGTGTGTGTGTGTGTTATCTTATGTAGTTTAACGTGAGTGTCTGGTCCTACTGCCTTCACTTCTCCAGTGCTGGGATTGTGGGTGACACTGCTACATCTGCTTTTTATTTTTTTTCTATTTTTACATATTTCTCTCTGAAAAGGTCTCACTTAACCTGGCTCAGGCTGATCTGACTCTCCCTAGTTAATGCAGGCTTGCTTCCAGTTGTGGGGATCGGTCTGCCTCAGAGCCCCACGTACTAGGATTATACACCAAGCAAATGGAACTTTTTAAAAATCAGAGTAGGCTGTAGATTTGGGGGATTTAAAGGTGCCAGGTGAGCTTAACTGCTTTCAACTACATCGTTACATAAACTTTAGCGTAGTTAGTTGTAACTTCTTATTTTTCAGTATTTTTCTAGCTGCAGATAGTATTAAATAAGGCTTGTATATAGTGGGTTGGATATACTGAGAAGTTAGTGTGGGGGTCACGCTTTACAGAAGATTAATGGAAAACATTCTTTTCGGAGCTCCGTGCTTGTCTTAAGCATTCCACCCCATGCCAGAATCTGTTTCTTCGGTATAACTAGGATCTGTAATTAAGGGAAATTTGGAATTATTTGAAATGGCCAAAAAAAATTTTTTTAAAGCATCCAACCCTTTATTTTTTCCTGTCTCCAGTTGTTACAGCCCGGGAAGAAATTTTACATCAACCAGTATACTGCAGCCTGCATTTAGTCAGAATGTATTCTGTCTGGGTACATAGCTGCTTTCCTGTGAGGGCAGGGGAAGTTTCATTTCCAAAGCTCATTCTGGGATATTAGTAGGCCTCAGGAAATCTTTATTGGGTGAGTAATTAATTACTCCATCAACAAGCATCTGTGTGGCTGGTAAAGTCACCTCTTGACTGTCAAGTGTCTATTCAAAATGGGCACTTTACATTTCTTTGTAGTTATTTGTTGGGGATTTTCAAGAGACAGTTCTGTTTTTGTGTTCTGGCCTTGGTGTCTGCACGTTTCCATTTTTGGTACGGCTGACATTTACTTCTTTTGTTTTCTTTTTCTTTCTTTTTTTTTTCTTTAAAAAACTCGCTTTTCATGGATTTTATTGGTTGCAGACACGCCCAGCATCTTCTTGAGCTCCTCCTTGAGGTGGATGGGCAGCGGCAGGTGGCACAGGATGGTGCGCATCTTCTTTTCCCACGCCGCGTTGCACGCTAGCTCCAAGATCTCGGCCGGTACTCCAGCCCGGCTGCCAGGTACATGGGCGCCTCCATGCCCACGCGCTCCGCGTAGTTACCCATGCGCAGCAATCAGTGAACGCAGTCCACGGGGAACTGCAGGTCCACGGGGAACTACTGTAGGCCCGCACACCACGAGCAGCGCAGCTAGGCCTTGGCGCCTACCTGCGGCCCGCTTGCGCCTACCTGCCGCCCTGCTTGCCTCACCGGGACATGCTCCACGACGCTCTTGGAGCTCCCACCGGCTCATGCTGTACGCCACACATTATTTACTTTATTGATGGGGCCTGGATGCCAGATCTAAGACCCATCCTTACGGCCCAGTGGTTGCCAAATGGCTCTTTCTTTTTTTTTTTGTTTTGTTTTGTTTTTGTTTTCATTTCTCATTCGACACCCCGCCCCACCCCCGCCACCAACACCACTTTGGGAGCCACCCTTTAAATATATAAAGCCATGTAGCCCCGGGCACCCCTATTTTTGTAACATATTTTCTGTCATAATACCATTTTTGTCTCCAGCTGCCTTGGCAAAGCTTTTGCATTCACTCACTTCGTTCACCAGGGATCGTTTTACCATTAAGCAGCATATGGTACCCATAGCGCTGGAGAGTTGAGGCTGGAGGATCACCATGGGTTTGAAAGCTACCCTGAGATACGTAGAGTAAACCCTCCATCCACACCTCCCACCCCCCATCCAAATGGAAAAAGAAGGAAGCTCCTTATTTTGAAAGTTTTTTTGTTTTGTTTTGCTTTAAGATATGCTAGGAGATTTTAAGTTCTCCTAAGGATCTAGTTTTGAGCACTAACTCTAGACATTTATCTTTCTTTTGTTTTCTTCCAGGAAGACTAGTTTATTGAATGCACTGCAAGAGGATGACGTGCTTCCACCATATTAAAAAAAAAATCCTTAATAGTAAGTTGAAGCATGTGGACGTGGCAAAACCTAGATGGCTTTCCTCCTGCCTCACTGCACACAGCATTCTCTTTAGATCAGACCTGAGTACCACTGATGCAGTCTGGTACTTCCTGAATGTTAAATGAACAGTTTACCAACTGAACTACGTTATCACTCCCCACTCACTCCCTTTTAAAAATGAATTTACTGGGCTGGAGAGATGGCTCAGCAGTTAAGAGCACTGACTGCTCTTCTAGAGGTTCTGAGTTCAATTCCCAGCAACCACATGTTGGCTCACAACCATCTGTAATGGGATCTGATGCCCTCTTCTAGCGTGTCTGAAGACAGTTACAGTGTACTCATATACATAAATAAATCTTTAAAAAAAATGAATTCACTTTTGTGAGCTAGGGTCTGATGTAGGCCAGTCTGCCTTTGAACTCCTGATCCTCCTGTCCCAGCCTCCAAAGTGCTAGGATTGCAGGCATGGGCTACTGGACCTGGCAATTAGTTACTAATAATTGTGTTTTTTAACTTTTTTTTATGTGTATTGGTGTTTTGCATATAGGTGTTTGTGTACCATGTTCGAGAAGTGTCCGATGACACCAGAAAAATATACCTGGATCCCCTGGAACTGGAGTAACAGTAGGTTGTGAGCCACCATGTGAGGTGCTGGGAAGAGCAGCTACAGCTCCAAACTGTCAAAGCCACCTCTCCAGCCCCTAACCTTTTTTTTTGTTTTGCTTTGTTTTGTTTTGTTTTTGTTTTGTTTTGTGACAAGGTTTCTCTGTGTAGTCCTGGCTGTCCTGGAACTTGATTTGTAGACCAGGTTGGCCTCAAACTCACAGATCTGTCTGCCTCTGCCTCCAAAGTACTGAGATTAAAGGCATTTGCTACCACTGCCTGCCTGCCCCTAACTTTTTTTTTTTAAAGATTTATTTATTTATTATATATGAATACACTGTAGCTGTCTTCAGACACACCAGAAGAGGGCATCAGATCTCATTACAGATGGTTGTGAGCCACCATGTGGTTGCTGGGATTTGAACACAGGACCTCTGGAAGTGCAGTCAGTGCTCTTAACCACTGAGCCATCTCTCCAGCCCTGCCCCTAACTTTTTTAAATACACCGATTTCTTTTAAAATCAAGTCAGTACTTGTTAACAGTTGCATGTTTTAGAAATGGTTGTGGAGAATGGGGTCAGGGTTATAATTTAAAAAAAAAACCTCAAAATCTAGTTGTTTTGCTTTTTGTTTTTCTAGCCTCTGTATTTGGTTGTGGAGATGTCCCCACTTTAGATGCATGAGCTGCACTTGTCCGAAGCAGGAGTGTAAAGTTACTTACTTATTCAGATTTCTTCTGCTAGCCAGCTGGAATAGAAATAAGAGTTTAGAGCCCACCCCGATCGATCCAAGAGCAAAAGCACTGTTTTGGTAGTCTGCCTAAGAGTTTGTTGTGATTCATTTTGCTACGCTGCAAAGTAAAAGAGCTGTAAGTCAGATTCGAGGAGGGTTAAAAAAAAAGTGAAATTAAATAAAACAAACTCTACCTCAGGGTACAGCTTTGGGGGAGTCCAAAGCCTGGAGTTTGCCGCTATCACCAAAGCAAGCATTAAAAACAACAAAACCTCACCCTAATGGGGGTCGAGAGTGAAGATCTGGGCCAGTGTTAGCTTAAGGGCTATAAGGGATTGCTCAATCTCATTCCCTGCACCAAAAGAAACCCAAAATGGAGGAACATTGCCTTGCTTATGTAATTCTGGAGGTAAAATGGTAGGGTGGGCCTCACAGTTTTATTTTTCAAACTACTTTCAAGTACCCACATAGAATTACGAATTCCTAGATTCTCAGGGAAATTTTTACCGTTTTTGCTTTATCTTATTCATTCCTGGTTGTTGGGCTTTTAAAAAAATGTTTATTTTAATTGTATTTGTATCTGATTTATCAGGATGTAGAAAAAACAGCTTCTTTTGATTCTTACATTTTCCACGCTGAGATGAATATTAGTTAGCACCACCTAACTGAATACATAAGCAAATTCACCAAGGAAGGAATGGTGGTAAGCAGCCACTTAGCTTTTGAAAAAATGGGTTCTGCTCATTGCTGAAAATTGTGAAGGGAAGGTGTGAAGTCAGGCCTAGTACTTTGTACTAGGCAGGCTCCATCCTCTCTCTGCCTCAAGTACTTTGTGCTGGGTAAGTGTCTACAACAAAAGGAAATATTGAAATGCCAATAAGGGTAGAATTAGCATAACTTTGAATTTCTAGTAATGGCACTTTAAATTCACACTGCTAGTAGTTTACCTTTAGTCAAATTGGGTACGGTAGAAAAGAGGACAAACCTGGCAGTGGAGGCCCACGCCTTTAATCCCAGCACTTGGGAGGCAGAGGCAGGTGGATTTCTGAGTTTGAGGCCAGCCTGGTCTACAGAGTGAGTTCCAGGACAGCCAGAGCTACACAGAGAAAACCTGTCTTGAAAAACAAAACAGAACAAAAAAACCAAAAGGACAAAATCTGGGTGGTGGCTTCTTTATACCCAGGTAGGGGGTCACCACGGGGTATAGGGGTATAGAGAATAGCTTGGCGGGGGTATAGAGAATAGCTTGGCGGGGTATAGAGAATAGTTTGGCGGGGTATAGAGAATAGCTTGGCGCTACACAAAGAAGCCCTGCTTTGAAAAACAAACAAAACACAACACAAGCAGGACCTGCTGTTTATTTTTAACTTGAACTCTGGTTACCTCTGTGTTTGTTACCTTAATTTAAGTGGAAGGGCAGAAACCATGTCATAGTCCCCTTTTTATTTCTCTTAGTAATAAAGATTTATATTTGTTGCCGGGTATATATGCCCAAGTATGCATTTAGGAAAATATATATATAAAGGTTTAAGGATGAGTGTTTTCAGTTTTTTGTTGTTGTTGTTTTTGGTTTTTGGTTTTTTGGTTTTTCGAGACAAGGTTTCTCTCTGTAGCTCTGGCTGTCCTGGAACTCACTCTGTAGACCAGGCCGGCCTTGAACTCAGAAATCCACCTGTCTCTGCCTCCCAAGTGCTGGAATTAAAGGCGTGTGCCACCACTGCCCGACGTGTTCAGTTTTGATAGCAGTAAATAATGGAAAAATCTGTTCAGGAGTAGAAAATCTGTTAAATAAAACTTGGTGTATTCATGCACAATAGCAAAGCCACTGAAAATAAAAATATTCCCAACACTCGGGAGGCAGAGGCAGGTAGATCTTTAGAAGTTCAAGACCGCCGGGCGGTGGTGGCGCACACCTTTAATCCCAGCACTTGGGAGGCAGAGGCAGGTGGATCTCTAAGTTCGAGGCCGGCCTAGTCTACAGAGTGAGTTCCAGGACAGCCAGGGCTACACAGAGAAACCCTGTCTCGAAAAACCAAAAAACAAACAAACAAAAACAAAAAAACAAAAACAGAAGTTCAAGACCAGTGTCGTCTATGTAGCTAGATCCAGACTAGCCAAGACTACATTAGTGAGACCCGGTCTGAAAAGTAAATAAATTGATGTAGAAGAAACGCAGAAAGAAATAACAATAATATTATAAAGGATTTACTGTTAGATTTGCTTAGGAGACATGGAATCGCAAAAAGAATTAGCGAATGGAGGTCCCGCTTCCAAAGCTCCGCAAAGATAAGTAGTTAGAAATAAGCATTCAGGATACTAGGGTGTAACTGTTTATCTACCAGGATTGACCCCATTTAGGGCCATTCACATAACAAATGGAGACAACCAGGGCTTAAAAAAAAACAGCCATTAAGCCCATTCCCAGGAACTATTCCTCTAGCAACTCAAAGGGGGCAGTACAGGATCGCAAGGATCGCCATCAATGTTAAGTCCTGGCTTGCTATAAAGTTCTTGGGTTTTCTTTGGAGGGAGCAAGAACATAATTATGCCAGATGGGAAGATCACCCTGGGTAACAACTATTTGAAAGGAACAACACTGGTGTGCTTAAATAATTCTGACTAGCCTGATCTTGGTGGTACACGCCTTTAACCCCAGAACTACGGAGACAAAGGCAAGTGAACGAAACCAGAAGAAGGAAAAAATAAACAAACAACCAGAAATAATTCTGGCACTATCTTTGCTGTGTAAATCTCCTATCTGTCGAAGTGGCCAGACTACATTTCCAGTCTCTGTTCAAAGTATAAGTTGGGCTCCAGGACATTAAAAAAGGCTTAAGGATATGTTGAGTGTATAAGCCTAAGGTGTACATACGTTTTTCTTTCAAGGCCCCTCTTTCAGCATTAGCCAGAGCCAGACAAGTGGTATTAAAGAGCTTTTCCTTTTTTAATCTCAAAGTGTATGACGTGATCTCTCACTGAAAACGGGGGTGTTATTTCTGTAACAAAATAAATAAGAAGGGCAGTCAGAGCATGCCTGTAATCCTAGTACCTGGGAAGTGGAGACACCATAATCGGGAGTGGACCCATCTTCGATACATAGACCATACTCCCACTGCGATGGCGTTTTGTTATGATTTGGTAGTATGATACTAGGTATCTTATTAATTCAGTGCTCTGCATGCCAGGGGACTCAAGTATACGAATCTGTACCATGAGGCAGTGCTTAAGACCTTAGCATTCTTGCATCTGACTTAAGGCTCTTACTCTTCACTGCAGAGACCTCAACAGAAGTGGAGGAAATAGAGGTAGTCGCGGAACTTGGAAGCTTACGAAGTTTGTTTGGAAAAGAGCTGGCTTGGACCATGACAGAAGGGAGCGATGGAAACAAACTCAACTTTTTCGGAGGAGGCAAGTGTGGGCATTTTACAGACTACAGTTGATACTTAACAAGTCAGTGCCCTGGTAGGTCGTGTCCACAGTCTTTCTCCCCCCCTTGGCTCTCCAGATTAAACATGGTAGTATCAGGAGTGGCAGCAGCTGCTTGTGACTACATAGATCTTGCTCTTGTAAGTAACAGCCCTAGTTTCGCATCAGTGAGGCAGCAGACTTCCTTTACCTATAGTGAGAGAGCTTTGACTTGAGGTTTGGTGCCCACTAGTTGATTAGAGAACAGATAGTGCGGGGTAGATGGTGGGTGGTGGATGACAGAATGCAACTTGAGAATCTGCTTCTTGGCCTTCCAGAGGTTTAAGCTGAGAAAAGTTTTCCTCTCGTGGAGAAACAGGAAACCTAGCAGTTGTAGCTGGTGCCAGGAACAGCTAGTAACAGGTTAATAGCCTGGGGTATGGGTCATTGCTGAATTGCTGGATTTTTAGGTTACCTTTTTTTTTCTTGAGACAGGGTTTCTCTGTGTAGCCCTGGCTGTCCTGGAACTCACTCTGTAGACCAGGCTGGCCTCAAACTCAGAAATCCACCTGCCTCTGCCTCCCAAGTACTGAGATTAAAGGCGTGCACCACCACCGCCCGGCCTACTTTTTATGTTAAGCAGCTGATAAGCTGTAAACATATAGGCAATATGATGCCTTCTTAGAGCCATGGGTACACTCGGAGTTCTTTGGCTTTTCCTGTGACGTCTCACCTTCCAGTTATTTCATCAATGAAGAGTCTTGAGGGTAGGATAATAGCCACTGTTGATAACAGTTTTTATAAACACACCACTTACTGTATAACTGCCAAGGTGATGAAATTGTGAATGGTAGTGCTTGGTCCAGAACCCAGTTTTGTGAACCACATACTATCTAATGATAACTAAATGAATGTTTGGTTACCTTGTAGGGACTCTCTTTTTGTTTGTGAGATAGGGTTGCAAAGGCTGGCCTTAAACTTTCAGTCCTTTTGCCTCAGGCTTCTATATGATTAAGATGTATATATGTATATACCATTACGTGTTCTGTTCTGATGGGCTGTGTCGTTAGGAATATGGATTTTTAGAATGCTTGCCAAGGAGTCATACTTGTATCTCATTCAAAGATAGGGCTAGGGAAGCCTCAGAGGAAAGATTAGAGTTCAGACATTTGACAGTTTAGTGTAGTTACTTCTACACCCAAATTAATTTATTTTATCTTTTTACAGTGCTGGGAATCAGACTCAAGACTTATGTATGCTTGAAAAGCAGTCCACCCCTGATCTCAGTCCTCTAGCTTTGGGCTTTTTTTCTTTTTTTTTTTTCTTTTTTTTTTTTTTAACACAGGCTTGCATAGTAGGTCATTCTGGCTTCCACAGTTCTGCCTCTGGAGTGCTGGGATGGTAGGCCTATGTCACCTGCCTATTCAAAATGACCTTTCTACAGTACAAACAAACAAACAGAAAAACAGGAGGGGTTTCTCTGGGAAGGAATACAGGGGCTGTATAATAGAGATGAAAGGGTAATTGAATAATGTGATCAAAATTCTATACATGCTCGAAATTGTCAAAAAATATAAAATGCGGGCCTGGAGAGATGGTTCAGCAGTTAAGAGCACTCACTGACTGCTCTTTCCGGGGGTCCTGAGTTCAATTCACAGCACCCACATGTTAGTGCTGGCTCACAACCATCTATGATGGGATTGGATGCCGTCTTCTAGTGTGTCTGAAGATAGCTACAGTGTATTCATGCATAAATAAGTACATTTTTTAAAAAGTAGAAATACTGCTTTCAGTTATAAACATTAGATTTATTTATTTATTTACTTGTGCCAGGGAGTAAGTCAAGGTTTCAGACTACCCTTAAGACAGGGGAAAGAGCAAAGTGAAAGTGGGAAATCTGTGATCGATTTAGAAGCCTAGATGCCAAAGGATTTCAACCTTGACTATTTCTTCTGAATATGTTTCTTCCCTATTTCCAGATGATACTGCCAGAAATTATGCTGCTTATGAAGAGATTAAACTGAGCCCTTTTGATTCTGTGAGGTTATTAAAGAATATAGTTTTCAAGTCATGGTAAAATCTTGGTAAGTGACTCAGTGACTCTACTTGGCTTGTTCAGTTAATGAAAACAGACCAGACAGATGACCTTACCAAGCATCCACGATTCCCCATTGTCTGAAAACAGATTGAAATGACCTAACGTCCTTTTCTCATATTACATGTTTATAGGCAGTGAAATCAGAAATTGTCTAAGATGATAGTTCTAGTAGAAGATAGATTTGAATTCAATCTAAAAATGATGTATTCCCTGCTAAAAGATTTTTATTAAAGATTATTATTACTTATGTGTCTCTGTCTGTGTTAGAATCTCAGTATGTAGCGCAGGCTACTCTAAGACATAGCAGTCCTTCTACCTCAGTCTGCCTATCCATGGTAGAAGCATGAGCCACCACTCTTGGAGTATAATGGATTCTGAGATCATACTTTCCTGATGATGGTAATTACTGTGATCTAAAATATTTATTATATAACAAGTCATCTGAGATGCTCATTAACTATACAGATTGTTGGGAAGTCAGAATTTTGTCGTTTGTCAAATCTGTCCCTTACTTATACTGAGGTTTTCTGCTAAGATTCAGCAATACATGAAGATGAATCATGGTTTCCGTGGACAACTTTGAGAGGCAGTTGAAAGCTGGGGTAAGCTGTCAATATATTTGGGTGTGGCTTCTCATTTTGTAACAAAAGGATAGTGGTCACATGTGGTATTTCCAGCCTTCTTCAATAGACAGTGTGCTTATCTGAGGTTATTTTAGGTGTTAAGAAAGCCCTCCCCAATGGGCTAGGAAGATGGCTCAGCAGTTAAGAACCACTAGCTATTCTTCCAAAGGTCCTAGTTCAATTCCCAGCAACCACATGCTGGCTCACAACCATATGTAATGGGATCTGATGCCATCTTCTAACACAGGTGTACGTGCAGACAGAGTACTCATATACATAAGATAAAGAAATAAATGTTTGGAAAAGAAAGGAAAAGGCTGCCTTGCCCTTATGGGACTTTCCTTTTTGTGAGGTAAAAAAAAAAAAAAAAAGAGAGAGAGAGAGAGAGAGAGAGATAAATACTAAATGTATAATGTACTATATATGCTATATTGGTTTTTTTTCCCTTTGTGATACTAAAAAATTACATTGAATACAGTTAGTCAAGCATAGTGGCACAAGCCTGTAATCCCAATAGGATTGAAGTAGGAAGATTACCAGTTTGAGGCTATCATAGTCTACCTGGGAATCTCCTGTCTCAACAACAGCAGCAAATGCCTGAGTTAATAACTGAAGCAGTAGCCGGGCATTGGTGGCACATGCCTTTAATCCCAGCACTTGGGAGGCAGAGGCAGGCGGATTTCTGAGTTCGAGGCCAGCCTGGTCTACAGAGTGAGTTCCAGGACAGCCAGGACTACACAGAGAAACCCTGTCTCGAAAAACCAACCAACCAACAAACAAACAAAACAAAACAAACAAACAAAACTGAAGCAGTGTCTTCTGTTTTTCTCTTTGTACTGTTTTTTGTTTTTGTTTTTTTCTGTTGGATTTCAAACTCAGGGTCGCTGTAGCCTGGAGCTTTAGCCCAGCATGGCCTGAAAGTTGATAATTTTCTGCTACCACCTCCTGAGTACTGGGATTATATGTACGCACGAACCTGCCTATCTCTGCTACTATTAACAGCTGCCTTTGCCTCTTCACGAAATGATGGCTGACCTAGGTGAGTGGGAAGATCATAGGTGGTGCAGGACATCTTTTTGTTGTCCCTCATTTGGCTAGACTATAAATGGCATTTTTCCCCCTTTTGATGCTACACAGGGTTTTTGACATACTAAACAATTGCTCTACCATTGAACTGTATCTCTGGCTCTAGGGAAGATATTTTTGAAAAATGGTTTAGAGTTTGCCAGATCCTATGAGTGAGTGACCTCAAAAGAGAAGAGGAGGGGCCTCCTCAATGATAAAGGTAACACAGGGAGCAAGGTAAGTAGGGAAATAAAGGCTAACATTAACCTCGCTTCTTGTCAGGGAGACGCTTAGAAATGCTATTTCTAAGCACAAGTCATTTGACAGTACATATACCCTTCTCAGTTGGTTGGGGTAGATCATACGCTTCTCAACCTCATCACCAAGCTGAGGGCCAGAAGAGCTGAAATGGCTCCCAAGGAAAGTAAGCTGTGGCCCAGAAGCTCCTGCTTTGGTTTGGTTTTGTGTTGAGAGTGTACCTAATACTCATATCTGTTCTGTGCCACTGAGTTAATGCCACCAGCCCCCAAGCTCCTGCTTGATGAAGGTTTTGTTGGAACATAGTCATTTTCATTTATTATTGTCTGTGGTCTTTTGTGCTACTGCATAGTTGAGTACCGGCTATGTGGTCTGTAGAGGCTGAAATAATACCATTTGGCCTTTTTAGGAAGTTTGGCCATTGCCTTTTCCCATTTTATTTCTATGGTACTTGCCTTTACAACAATCCTACAAATTGAAATCAGTTTTCTTCTGAATTTCTTCCCATGAAAGTTGAGATCAAGAATGTACATTGGGGGCTAGAGGGATGGCTCAGTGGTTAAGATGGCTCTTGGGCTGGAGAGATGCCTCAGCAATTAAGAGCACTGACTGCTCTTCCAGAGGTCCTGAGTTCAAATCCCAGCAACCAGATGGTGGCTCACAGCCATCTGTAATGGGATCTGATGCCCTCTTCTGGTGTGCCTGAAGACAGCTACACTGTACTTCTTTTATAATAAATAAAAAATATCTTTTAAAAAAAATGACTCTTCTTCCAGAGGTCCTGAGTTCAATTCCCAGCAACCACATGGTGACTAATAACCATCTATAGTGAGATATGGTGCCCTCTTCTGACCTCCAGGCATACATGATGGCAGAACGCTGTATACAAAAATAAAATAAATCTTTTTAAAAAGGGGGGGCGTGTCGGGCAGTGGTGCCGCACACCTTTAATCCCAGCACTTGGGAGGCAGAGGCAGGCAGATTTCTGAGTTCGAGGCCAGCCTGATCTACAGAGTGAGTTCCAGGAAAGCCAGGGCTACACAGAAAAACCCTGTCTTTAAAAAACAGAGAGAGAGAGAGAGACAGAGACAGAGAGAGAGAGAGACAGAGAGAGACAGAGGGAGAGACAGAGCCCAATAAAACAGTTTATGAAAAAAGGAGGGGGTGTACATTGAAACAGCAGGCTATGGTGGTGCCCTCCTGTGATCTCAGCATTTGGGGACGGACTTCAGGAAGAGCAGGAGAACAAGGCCAGCCTCACTAACATGAAAAGAAAACATCTGAAAAAATACAAAAGCATTTTCAGACTGGATATGAATGTGGAAAGGCTCTTTTATAGCCTCATAATAGCCAACTGATTTATATGGCTGTCCCCATTTTTTGTTTTCACAGATGCCTTTTAAAATCCAGTTTTTGTTTGTGTTTGTTTGCTTTTGGTTTGAGACACTGTTACACTACCTAGCCTTAGCTCCCTGGAACTTGCTATGTACACTGTCTAGTCGCAGATACTTACCTCCATCTTGCCTCCTGAGTGCCAGGATTACAGGTGCGCACCATCACATCCAACCTTTCAACAAATGAAGAAATTATTGCAACATGTGTGTACATGTGTATGTAATGTGATAGCTGAGCTTTTTATTACTTGATACCATTTATTGAGCATCTACTATGAGACCTAGACATGTTTTTTTCTGAAATTTTGCCAAACCTGGAAGAGTTGCCATTTCCATCTCCAAAATGAGTCTTTCAAACATATATAACTTTACCCTAAACCGCTGCTATAAGGTTTGGATTTTCTTTTTCTTTCTTTTTTTTTCTTCTCTTGTTTTTTATTCTCCAATGGTATTGTGTTGTGTTGACCACACTAGTTTTAAATTCCTGAGTTCAAGTGATTGTGGCTTTACTTACAGGAGGACTACGTATAGTGAGTGCACAACACTGGAATAATAGGATTGGAATTTTAATTGTTTTTTTTTTTTTTAGAGAGGGTTTCTCTCTAGTCCTCTCTGTCTTTGACCTCACTATGTAGAACAGGCTAGTGTGGAAAGAGATCTGCCTACCTATGCCTCTTGAGGGCTAGAATTACCACCTTGCCCCAAGTTAGGATTGGATTTTTAAGTATCCTTTGAAGTTTTTCTTTCTTTTTTTGTTGAGGCTTTGTTTCCTGCTGTGACATGGAGATCCTTTGGAGATGGCGGTTCCCCCCCTCCCCCGCCAAGGAGATTGAGGATGTAGCCTTGAAGGGGGCACTGTGGCTTTGACCCCCTTGCCCCTGTTTTCTTCATGAGCAAGCACTCTGCCTTGTTCTGTTTGCCATGGTGATTTCTTTCTTGCCATAGGTTGAAAGGAACAGAGCCTGTTGGCCATGGACTGAAACTACTGGAACTGTGAGTCAAAAGAAACTTTCCGTTCTTTTAAGCTGTCTGTCTCTGGTATTTTGTCATAGAGATAATAAGGTTTCTAGCCACAGTCAGGTTTCTAATTAGGGGTAAAATTAGATGTTAAAAGCATAATTCACTGGGCAGTGGTGGTGCACGCCTTTAATCCCAGCACTTGGGAGGCAGAGAACTCAGGTGGATTACTGAGATCGAGGCCAGCCTGGTCTACAGAGTGCGTTCCAGGACAGCCAGGGCTACACAGAGAAACCCTGTCTCGGAAAAACAAAAAACAAAAACAAAGCATAGTTCAAGTTGCCGTTTTCTTTCTTCCTTTCATCCCCATGCTGATTAACACAGGGACTCCTGGTAATCAGCTTGCTCTCATCACTGACCTATATCCACAGCCGCTTCGCCTGTGCACTTCTAGAAATTGAACCTACAGTGTCACACACTGGCTAGGCAAACAGTCTATCACTGAACTTAGTTCAAAGCCTACTCTACCATCCCAGAATGGTCCGATGTATGTCCATGTGTGTGCTTTACCAGTGAGCTATACCCATAGCCTTCTCATTTTCTTTAAAAGCATTTTTAAATCGTTGTTTTATGTGTATGTATATTTTTGTGTGCACCACATACATGGATAGTAGAGTCCAGAAGATAAGAAAAGTCCCCAGGAAGAACAGCCAGTATTCTTAACACTGAGACATTTTTTCAGCACCCCCAACCCACCCAGCTACATTTTTCATTTAAGTATTTGAAAAAGTTTTAGAGTGGGGCTGGAGAGATGGCTCAGCGATTAAGAGTCCTGACTGTTCTTCAGAGGTTCTGAGTTCAATTCCCAGCAACCACATGGTGGTGGTTCATGAAGAAGGAGAAGAGGAGGAAGAGGAGGAGGAGGAGGAGGAGGAGGAGGAGGAGGAGGAGGAGGAGGAGGAGGAGGAGGAGGGAGAAGAGGAAGGAGGAGGAGGAGGGAGAAGAGGAAGGAGGAGGAAGAAGAAGAGAATTCACTCTGTAGAGGAAGGGGAGGAGTGGAGGAAGAGGAAATGGAGAAGAGGAGGAGAGGGAAGAAGAGGAAGAGGGAGAATTCACTCTGTAGAGGAAGAGAAGGAGGAGGGGGGAGAAGAGAATTCACTCTGTTGAGGAGGAGGAGTGGAAGAAGAGGAGGAAGCAAAAATGAAGAAGAGGAGGAAGAGGGAGAATTCACTCAAGAAGAAGAAGAGGAAGGAGGAGGAGGAAGAAGAGAATTCACTCTGTAGAGGAAAAGGAGGAAGAATAGGAGGAAGAAGAGGAAATGAGGAGTAGGGGAATAAGAGGGGAGGAGGAAGAAAAGAATTCACAAGGAAGAAGAAGACAAACTTTTGTTTTTGTTTTTCCTGGCTCAGCCTCCCAAGTTGCTGAAATTACAGGCTTGACATCTTGACATTTTTTATTTTCTTTTTGACACTGCTGGTGTGGGGTTTTAGACAAGCAGTCTAATACTGGATACCAGCCCTATTCTTACATTTTAAAATCTTAGAATTTGGAAGCTGGGGAGATGGCTTAGTGGGTAAGAGCACTTGCTATGCAGACATGAAGACCTCAGTTTCAACTCTCAACACCTTTATAAAAAGCTGGCTACTGAAGGTAGAGAGATGGCTCAGCAGATTAAAAAAGGCTTGCTGCTCTTGGAGTGGATAAGAGTTCTGTCCTAATATCCACATCACGTTCCCTAGAACTCCAGCTCCAGGGAAGCCAATACCCTTCTGGCCTCCGTGGACTCACATAAACATTTAAACACAAAGTAAAACCCTTAAAAAAAACTCTGGCATGGCCACAAGTGCATGTAACCCCAGTGCTGTGGCTAACAGAGATATGAGGAGCATTGGGGTTTGCTGCCCCTGAGTCTAGCTCCACGTTCAGTAAGAGAACCTGTGTCACAAGTATAGAGTAATGGAGTAGGACTCTTGGTCCTCTGGCCTCTACATGAATATTTCCATGCATGCATATGCGTATAGATGCATTATATACATGTACATATATACATGTACATTATATACATGTATATATAGACATGTACAAATATATAAATTAGTCCTTTAATGAGCATAGAATAGCAAAATATAATTATTCAAAAATCCACAGCTGCTCACTGGAATCAGAAAGCTAATTTTGATATGTTCCTGTATCACTACCTTTGTTCTTCCCAGGCATATCATGCTGTCTGTCTTTCTGTAAGAATGACTATCCCTTCTCCAGACTCAGTGAGCAGAAGAGTAACCTGGTGATGCTCTAGCTAACACCACTCATAGCAGTTTCTCTTCTATACTAACTTCTGTCAAGGGCAGCTGTGAACACTCTTTCTAACACTTACTCTCTTTATTTTTTCTCTTTCCTAAGATGCTTATCTTTATGTGCATGGGTGCTTTTGCATGCATGTCGGTATGTGTACTATGCATGTGCCTGATTTCCAGGGAGGTTAGAAGAGGATGTCAAATCCCCTGAAACTGGACTTGCAGACAGTTCTAAGCGGACACGTAGGTCTGACGATTTGAACCTAGTTTCTCGGGAAAAGCAGTATCCCGATCCCTGTCCTAATCTTTTCATTACAGGGAACAGCTTTATGTGGGAGTAAGTATTTATGCACAAACAGCAGATTAGGAATATTTCCCCCTTACCCTATTTTCTGTTTTGTTTTAATAGCCAATAGCACTAGGATGACTAGGATTCTGGGACATTGTAGGACATTTTTAAATTTCTGTTCACATTTTGGATTTTTTTCTTATGGACGTAGGTTTATTGCATAGGTTAGCCTTGAATCGTTGGCCTGAAGCACTCCTCTTCCGGTTAACTGGGTCTACAGGTACATGCATCTGACAGTTTTTAAGTGAGGTGAGAGTACGTGCCAGGCGGAAACTAATAAATACTCATAATTGGTTAGGCATGGTGACGCATGCCTTTTAGACCCTGTACCAGAGAGCAGAGGCAGGTGGAGCTCTGAATTTGAGTCTGGATTACATAGCAATTTCTAGGCCAGCTAGAGAGCCAAAGCAAGACCTTGTCTTAAAAATAGCCATAGAGAGAGGAATTTTTACTGAAAGTAGGTCAGTTTGAGGGTAGAAACCAGTTGTGACCTTATATTGGATGTGACTATTTTCTCTATAGCAGGATCTTAAAATACAATGGCCTGCCATAAGGTGGGTCAGTGGGTGAAAATGCTTGTCACCCAACAAACTGACGAGCTGGATTCAAGCCCCTGGAAGCTACCAAACAGAAGGAGAGAATCCACTACCACAAGTTGTCCTTCGCCTTTCACCTGCACTGTAGCACATGGGACATCCACCTATACAAGAAAATAAAATTTTAAAATGAAGAGTGGCCTTCTACCAAAGAATGAGTTATAAACAGGCCTTGTAGAAGAAGAATACCTCATTGGTTTAAGAGAGCTGTGGCACTGGATAAAGCTAGCTATCTGAGTCTTTGTACAACTTTTCATTTGTGTGTTTGTTTTTATTGCTTGGTTAGAAACAGGGTTTCACTGTTGATCAAGTTGGCCTCAAGCTCACCACCTACACTGTCTCAGCCTCTTGATAGAAAATGATTCTTTTTAAATCCTTTCTTTTTACCACATCTCCAGAATTGAGTTTCCCTCACTGTTACATGTTCTGTGTGCATGTGTATGCCTCTCTGTGTGTCTGTGTGTGCACACATAGGTCACAGGTCAATCTGAAGTGTCATATTTGCCTTCTACTTTGTTTGAGACAAGATCTCTTGTTTTAATTTACTACTGTACACACCAAGCTAGCTGACCCTTCAGCTTCCAGGGATGCTTCTGTCCGTACCTCTGTCTCCTCAGAGGAGACACTGCTTTACAGGTAGATGTGCACAGTTTCTACTTGTGTCCTAGGGATTCAGACTCAGGTCCTCATGCTTGCCTGGCAAGTCCTTTTACCCACTAAGCCATCTGTATCCCTGGCTCTGTTGTGATCTTTCTGGCTCAGCTTTCTAATTGGTGGGATTATAGGTTTGAGCCACCATGCTAGGCTTACATAGCTTTTTTTTTTTTAAGATTTACTTATTTTATGTATATGAGTTCACTCTCACTGTCTTCAGACACACCAGAAGAGAGCATTGGATCCCATTACAGATGGTTGTGAGCCACTATGTGGTTGCTGGGAATTGAACTCAGGACCTCTGGAATCTGGAAGAGCAGTCAGTGCTTTAGCAGCTGAGCCATCTCTCCAGCCCCACATAGCTTACTTGATTGCATTATTCTTAACATCGGGGACAATATACAACGTTGGCTTTTTCAACTGAAAGAGTACAGTCAGGGCCTTGTAGTCAAGGCAAGTCTGGGATACATAGAACTATATCTTGCCTCAAGATAATGTAATAAAATGAGAGTCTTTGCATTCTTTGGGATCCTCCCCTTTTTGGTTGCCTTGAGACATGGTCTAGCTATATGATGTCACCAGAGCGACATTAAGCCCCCCTTTCTTTTTTGTATTGTTTTAAAAGACAGTATCATACTGTATAACTTAGGCTGGCTTTACCTCATCATGCTCAAGCCTTCATCTTCCCAGTGTGAGAATTATAGACATGCCTATGCTCTGCAATGCCCAGCTTGTTTGTTATGGTTTGTTTGTTTGTTTGTTTGTTTTACATGCATATATGGATGTGTATCTTGTGCCTTCATGGTGCTCACAGAAAGCAAAAGGAACTATTTAATCCTTTGGAATTACAGAGTTACAGATGGTTGCAGGTGTTTGTAAATTTCAGATACTCCTGTTGTATCCTCTCAGTGATATTAATAATGGCTAGGTGTACACCAGCATACTCATTTTTCCCCTTTATTTTCCTTTGTAAAAAATAGTTAAAATTTTTTATTTTATAATTACATTATTTCCATCTTCCTGTTCTCCCCTTAAGCGTTCACATCCATCCTCCCCACCCCAGCTTTCTTTGCAATTCATGCCTTTATTTCTTTGTTTCTATTGGTGTGTGTGTGTGTGTGTGTGTGTGTGTGTGTGTGTGTGTATTCCTGAATACAACCTGCTCATGTATGTTTTCAGGGCTGACCATTTGGTATTACATAACCAATTAGTGTGCCCTTCCCTAGTGAATACTTACTCCCACTTGAGGTGCCCCCTTAGTTGCTTGCAGTTCTTTGTATAGGGTTGTGGCCTTGGGAGTTTTCCTCTGCTTGCCCACCAGTGTGGATTCCTTCCTTCCTTCCTTCCTTCCTTCCTTCCTTCCTTCCTTCCTTCCTTCCTTTCTTCCTTCCTTCCTTCCTTTTCTTTCTTTTTACTTTATGTTTACGGGTGTTTCACCTGTATGTATTACCTGTGTGCAACATGTATGCAATGTCTGGTGAGACCCTAAGATGGCCTTAAATCTCCTGAACTCTTATTTGCTGATGGTTGGTGGCTGCCATGTGAGTCTTGAGATTCTAAACTTGGTCCTGTAGACTAGCAAGTGGTTTTAACTGCTAAACCAGTTTTCTAGTCCTGAATCTATTTGCGTAATTTTACTGTAAAGATAAGATTTTTTTCTGACCGCATCCCATACTCTTGGTACTAGGGATTGAATCCACGACCAGATTCCTAGACCTATGTTCCTTTTTGTTTTTGAGACAGTATTTCAGTAGCCCAGGCTGGCCTTCAGGTTTAGATGAGATTTGCCCTGGTTAATCATTAGCACCTCTTTGCAAGTGATTTCTTTTGTCTTACTTGCTGGAAATTAAACTTAGGGCCTTGCACATGCTAGATAAGTACTCTACCAATGAGCTATATTTGTACTCCTCCCTGCCTCACAATTTTGTTTTGCCCCTTTGATAATAATACCCGAAAGAAACAGTTTAAGGAGGAGGCTTTTTATATTTTTATTTATATACTTATTTTGAATGTGAGCATGCACATGCCATGGTGCAAATGCGCGAGTTGGTTTTCTTCTTTCACTCTATGAGTTCCAAGCTTGCCAACACATGCAAGGATTTATTTGGCTTAGTTTCAGAAAATACAGTCCAATGTGATGGGGAAGAGTTAGTGCTTGCTCCGCTTCTATGGGCCCTTTGTGATACGATATCTTGTTTCTTAAGCAGAAATTGGAGAGGTAGTAAGGCTCAGTTATTAACTTCCAAGGTCTTCCCCCATAACCCACCCCTGCCAGCTAAGCTCAAAGATTCCATAGACATAAATTCTTAGACTCCCACCAAATCATGAGGGTTTTTTGTTTATAACACTGTCCCAGTTTGGATGATTTGCTATGTCAGTCTATCCGTTTGACTTTCAGGATTCTGAGGAGTTAATGTTTCTGTGAATATCTCAGAAGTAGACAAAGCAACAGGTATCTCACTCCCATAGGTAAGTGATTGTTGACTATGGAAGCAGTATATTACTGGTGGAGTGCTTCATGCCTGTAATGCCACCCCTTGAGGCTAAGCCAGGAGGATCCAGGCAGGACTGCATAGCAAGACTTCTCACCAAAAAACGAAAGAGAGAAAAACTTATCTTTTTTTCTTTTGCCTGTTGTGTGGTATTTTTTGCACTCAGTAGCTTTTCTAAGACTGCACTAGCCTTACATTTCCAGAAAAAAACTCCCAACTTTTCAAGGATTCTGAATTTGTTAAGTTTGCTGGGTTTTTTTCTTTCTTTTTTCTTTTTTAAGGTTTTTCGAGACAGGGTTTCTCTGTGTATCCCTGGCTGTCCTGGAACTCACTCTGTAGACCAGGCTGGCCTCGAACTCAGAAATTCGCCTGCCTTTGCCTCCCAAGTGCTGGGATTAAAGGCGTGCGCCACCACCACCCGGCCAGGTTTGCTGTTTTTTAAAGTTGTTTTGTTTTTATTCATTAGTGTTTTAGTTCTAGGTTCAAACTGAATTTTGGTGGGGAATGGTTGACAGTGTTTGTCGGTTTTGGGTGGAATAATTAATAGTTTTTTTGCCTGCTTCAAACTAAGGAGATCTCAAACATATGTTATGCCATAAATATCATTTACGACTGACACACAGTATCTCACTGTATGATTATAGGACATTAATTTACATTTCTTTTTAGACTCATCAGAGTTACTATTCTCCCTTCTACGTCTTTTCCTCCGGTGCTGGAGCTAAGACTGTTACAAGCTAGGCAAAGATACTTGCACTGAGCTGCACTGCCACTCCAAACTGCTCTTAATTGTATTTACACAAATCAAGCTACAGTAATTATTTCCTAAAACTGGAGGAAGTATATACGTCCATTTAGTAAATCGGAGAGTAGCCATATTTCTACGTGATACCAGGATACTGTATTGAGATTCTGTTTTTAAACAAAATCGTAAGCTGAATGTAGGGGCTCATATCTCTATTCCCAGCATTTGGAAGGCTGAGGATGGAATGAATATTGGTACAAGATGGAGGAGGCTAGCATACTACCCTATTGGTTCCTATGCTCCAAAATGCAAAACCCAGGAAAGAGAAACATTGTTTTACTAGTTGTGAAAGCAGAACCTAATCTCCTTTAGTGTTTGTAATTTGTGTTTCCTTGCTTCTCAATTACATAAAATAAGTAAAAGTGTTTCTTGGCTCTTTATTTTGAGTTTTCCTCCATTTGATTTTTTTTTTTTGCTTTACATGACACATTTATTAATTTTTTTTTGTTTTTTTTGTTTTTGTTTTTTTAAATTTTTTAAAGGCCTGGCAGGCCACAGGAAAGAGCAGGTTTTTTTTTTAAATTTATTTATTTTATGTAAATACACTGTAGCTGTCTTCAGATACCCCATAAGAGGGCATCAGATCTCATTACGGATGGTTGCGAGCCACCATGTGGTTGCTGGGATTTGAACTCATGACCTTTGGAAGACCAGTCAAGTGCTCTTAACTGCTGAGCCATCTCACCAGCCCGACACATTTATTATATATACATCATATATACCCACACATCACAAACTCTTAAAGGCTTTCTTTTGCTAGGAACATTTTAATTTTACTAAGAATATTTTAATTTTCTACTTGTGTGGTTTTCTTATCACAAATTTCTACAGTGAACATTTTTATAGAATTTCTAGTCATATGCTTATCAGTTGCTTCTTGAGTTTTGAAAATATGGCGGTTAATCTGCTAGTATTACTCGTTTCCACTGTCTCGAGGATACAGCATCCAGCACTGACAAGTGGTAGAAACGATGTCAATTCTACTCTTCTTGGCATGATCACTTGGAGCTGGTGTACTTGGTGACGGGCTTGGTGCCCTCGGACACTGCGTGCTTGGCCAGCTCCCCGGGCAGCAGCAGGCGCACGGCCGTCTGGATCTCCCGGGAAATGATGGTCGAGCGCTTGTTGTAATGCGCCAGGCGCAACGCCTTGCGCACGATGCGCTCGAAGATGTCATTCACAAATGAGTTCATGATGCCCATGGCCTTGGAGGAGATGCCGGTGTCGGGGTGCACTTGCTTCAGCACCTTGTACCCGTACACCGAGTAGCTCTCCTTGCGGCTGCGCTTGCGCTTCTTGCCGTCCTTCTTCTGGGCCTTCTTGGAGCCCTTCTTCGGGGCGGGAGCAGACTTCGCGGGCTCAGACATCTTCGGATCTCCAAACACCGGAAGCTCAGTCCCATTTGATTTTTGGTTTTTCGAGACAGGGTTTCTCTGTATAGCCCTGGCTGTCCTGGAACTCACTCTGTAGACCAGGCTGGCCTCGAACTCAGAAATCCGCCTGCCTCTGCCTCCCAAGTGCTGGGATTAAAGGCGTGCGCCACCACCGCCCGGCTGATTTTTTTAAAATATTATTAATTTTGTCTGTGAATGACTGAGTGCAAGTGTTCACATGTGTGTAGATAGCAGAGGATATCTTTCAAGAGTTGATTTTCGCCGGGCGGTGGTGGCGCACGCCTTTAATCCCAGCACTTGGGAGGCAGAGGCAGGCAGATTTCTGAGTTCGAGAGTTCGAGGCTAGCCTGGTCTACAGAGTGAGTTCCAGGACAGCCAGGGCTATACAGAGAAACCCTGTCTCTGCCTCCCAA